AGTCTTATAAATAACTTGTCAAACTTTAAAAATCGCTTTGAATCAGGTATTTTTTAGCCTAGTTCGATCAGAAATACGAAATTATTGTTATTTTAAAAACAAAAAATTATGAAAAAAAATCATTTTCAAAATTTACAGTAAAACTAATTTTATAAAACCAAAAGTGTTTAATGTAATAAAAATGTGTGTATTAATAATTATGGTGTAGCACAATTTTCAAGAAACACCCACTGCTAAAAAGTGCATCGGTGCCTTTTTTTTGCAACTGTGTAAGGCTCGCTGAATACTTAACCCGTCAGCAGTCGCGCCTTTTTTAGTGTCTCACTTGCACTCTAAGAGCGCCCTATAGGTCGAGTAGTGTTGCGTGAGACTTTTTCTCACGGCGCGACCGCTGACGGGTTAAAAGAAACGGCTTAGCGAATGAGCGCTAACATTTTTCGTCCATATTAGTATTTTAAACTTTAAAAATCAAAAGTTTTGAAAATTTGGTTAAAAAATGTAGAAGTACACTACCGTCCAAAAGTATCAGGACGATTACATTCGACTCTATGAAAAAACATGCCATCACTTTTTCAATCATATCTCGGAAATTAAAGGAGGTACAAAAAAACTTAAATACGGTTAGAAAGTTGATTAAATTCTGCGTAAAATGAGCCGTCTTTAAAGTCATTTCGTTAACTATTTTTTAAGTTGTAAAGTGAGAAAAAAATAAAAAAAATAATCAAATTCTCTCATTTTTGTCTCTTGATTTCAACTTTTTCAAAAATCTAGAAAAATTTAGAAATTTTTTTTCTAAAAACACAGCAATCTTCGTTAGAATTTCAGCTTTAAAATAAGCCTTCGGAAATTAAAAAAGGTTAATCCATCTCCGATATATCATTAAAAACGTGAAGCCGTGTTTCGACCGATTGATGCATTGAAATTCAACTGTGACGACTCGATTCTGGCTTCGCGTGGCTGCGAATGGGAGAGAAAGCAGGGACGAATTCGTACGGGTGTAACAAGGCATTTGTTACTGGGATAATAGCTGTTTGTCTGTGTCGGAAAAGTCAATGTGCTGGTTGGTATCTCTTTCTTAAATTTCCAAAGTTTATTTGATTCTGGTTGCGGCTCACTGTATGTGATGAAAATAAGGCGTGGTGACGAGTTTCCACGATTGATAGCGACCAGGGCCGAATTTATTTACAGGTGATTTTCCGTCGTTTGAGGGTCAAGGAAGGATTTATCAGATTTGCGTGACCTTAGGACAAGGACAGGAATACCGGCGTCTCAGCTGACGAATTCGTTACAAGCAGTTATGATATTATTTCATTCGTTTACCGGCGTGTTTAAGAGGTTTGTTTTACGCGGAAGTGTAATTTCTTTGTGGTTTAATAAAGAGAGGTGTTGTTAAATTGTGTGTTTCATTGTTTTCAACGTCTAAGCATCAGCGTCGTCTTGGCGGGAAAGTTCCACATCTTTGAGGAAGTATTGTTTCGTGGTGTTATTGTTAGTCGAGTTGTTTCGGTGAAATTACAGGAAAGCGAACTAACGAACGGATTAGATGCTCGTATTAAAAATATTATTTTTAACTAAAATATCCGGTCACACAGGGGAACGATGAACTTTTGAGTTTCCTTATATTACTTGTTAAACATCATTATTTATTATTCTCCAGCAAAAATTCGTCCCTGTTTTTTCTCATTCGCTGCCGCGCGAAGCCAGAATCGAGTCGTCACTGTTGAATTTTAATGCACCAATCGGTCGAAACACTGCTCACATTTTTAATGATATATCGAAGACGGATTAACCTTTTTTAATTTTCGAAGGCTAATTTTAAAGCTTATTTTTCTAGATTTTTGAAAAAGTTGAAGTCAAGAGACAAAAATTTGAAAATTTGATAATTTTTTGTATTTCTTTCTCACTCTACAACTTAAAAAATAATAAATGAAATGACTTCAAAGACGGCTTATTTTACGCAGAATTGAATCAGCTTTCTAACCGTATTTAAGTTTTTTTGTACCTCCTTTTATTTCCAAGATATGATTGAAAAAGTGATGGCATGTTTTTTCATGGAGTCGAATGTAATCGCCCTGATAATTTTTGACGGTAGTGTAACTCTAAAATTATTATTACCAACATGTAGAGAATTAAAAAATGCTTCGATTGACCTATTTTTGTACGTGATTCGGTCGGAAATTACGAGTTTATTACTTTTTCAAAACCAGAAGTTGTGAAAAATATAATTTTCTCAACTTTCTTGTTTAAAAATTTTTGTGTAATTATTAAACTATTATAACAATCTTATAGAATATATAAAGATACATTTTTTGAATCTACATTTAATCATTTTTAACCCGCTTATGAAAAGTAATTCTTATATTTGAATTATTAACATTTCAATGAGGAAGCAAAGTGTCCATGAAATAAACACAAAAAAAAATTATAGAAACATGCAACTTGGCAGCGACTTTTATTTATATGACTGTCGAATTAAAGTTTTTAAAAGAAATAAATGGAGGAATCACCCCGAGTATATACTGCTCGGATTAAACCGTAGGGAGGTTAATAATAATAATAATTTATTTTAGCCTACACGGAAAAAAGTACAACTGAAATGAAGAAATTTTTCGCCATAACAGCTAAACATTTCGTCAAAAACGAGCGAGCGATATTGAATTTTACTTGAAAGACAACCTAACCCTAAAATGATTTTTAATTTTTTTCAATTGTATGTTTCAAATTATAACCATATGAAAGTAAATTATTGAAATTAATACTGTTTTGAAACTAAAAAACACAAAACTGATATTTATGCTGTCAAAAAAATTTCTGGGTAGGAGCCGTAGGAGCGGTAGATTTCCATATACTTCCAATATGGCTGACGAATTGCACTCAACCAAAGCTCACCATCACTAAATTGGCTAAACTTTCGGCTAATGTAGTTAAGCTTAATTTCAAACGTGGGTTATGTTGTTCTTCTTTTTAATTATATTCCCAATATTGCTCGTTCGCGTCATGAAATTTTTTTCCGTGTAATGACCCAGAAACGGACTTGGTTTACATTTTTTTAACCATACTTATATTATATGTACATTTTAAACATACATTATAAAAAAACATTATATGGGCAAATCCATGGAACTGGTCGATTTTCACTTATAAAAATGAAAAATTCCTAATTGCAAGCACAGCTTTCATTTATGGTTCATTTTTTTCGAAATTTATTTTAGAACAATTATCTTTTTACGTGATTCATTTTATTTTAATGCCGTGCAAAGTAAAAGCCAAATACGAAAATGAGTTTTTTCAGAAAATATAATTAAAAATGTGTATTTCTTTCTTCTTTTGTTTTCTATATATATTTTTGTAATATGTGCAAAAAATAAAGAATAAAATAGGATTAATTATAATTATTTGTGTAAGATAATTAATATTGACATATTTTAGATTAATATAATAATTAATTAATAAATATTATTTTGGCATTAATTTTTTTTAATTTTATAAGTTGAATTATCTTAATTTTGACGCAAGTTTCAAAAAATAACAAATGAAAAGACAGTTAATTCTTTACATTGACTGATACATTCATAATGAACTAAATGAAACTAAACTAAATGAATGAAAAATTGATTGTAATTCTCAATTTTTTGACATTATAAATTAGAAATAGAATTTGGCATTTTAATAAAAGAATTATAATAACGCTTTTAATAATCACGCACGTTTTCAATTCATTTCATTCCAATCTGTAGATGTGCTCCTAGAAAAAGGCAAAGTTTAGAGTTGTTCACGGTCATGTTTCAGGTGATAATTATTTTAATATTTTCTTTATTTCTAAAGACACATTATTTTACAATACGAAGATTTATTCGTCTGATGAAGACGAATAAGTACTGTTGTTAGAAATTTTAATTGATCAAACGCCACAAAAGTTATTATGCAAAGTTTCCAGAAATTGTATTATTCAAAAATAATGAGTAACACTATTTACCTCTACTACTATTCCTTTGTAATTAAGAGCACATCTTTTTTTTAACCTTTAATACTTTCTACAAAAAGTAAAGTATAATTCACCATCGTTTAGAATTGTTTCGTTGTATGCCAAAAAAGTTATGCCTATAAGAATAGAAAAAAGTACCTTGAGTAACTGTCGTATTTGGAAGCATCAATTCGAATATCCATTTTTCTAGGTTGATTAATGTTTTCTAGAATTAATCTAGTTATTTTGTAAAGTATTTATACTTTTTCAACTGTCTAACAACTAGTTGTCCGAAGGGTTACAAATGACTATAGGCACAATATAGAAAACTGTCTAGAAACAATAAAGAATCAAGTAATACTATACAGAACCAGGAAACTTCCATGACAAATTTCCACATATTGAGTGGAGCTAGGAAGTTAGGAAGTTAGTAGGAATTGTCAGTAGTTAGGAATTGTCAGTAGCTCTGAGCCAATGCGGATTTGTGTAAAAACCGTATTTTCACGTTTGACTAAATCTTTTTTTCGTCCACTGATTACGGTCTTCTTTTAGTATTGAAATTAAGATCACATGAGCAGAGTACACATCATAAATTTAAAGCACAATTGTCCTGCTGTATAATAATAACGATTTCGAACCGGAACAGTGAAAAATTATTAAAAAGTGGTAAAAGCAAGATTTGACAGGCGCGACTGCATTTACCATATGAATCAATGAAAAACATAAGGTTTAAATGGATTAATAGGAATTAATAGTGAATGTAGTCGCACTGTGATCTTAGTTTCAATGCTAAAAGAGGACCGTATTCAGTGGACGAAAAAAAGATTGAGTCAAACGTCCCAATACGGTTTTTCCACAAATTCGTATTGGCTCAGAGCTACTGCCAATTCCTAATTGCTCCACTCAATACTTTTTTTTTACTGGGTAAAAGTGATTTACTTCACAGTTATCTTTTCTGGAAGCGCGTCACAAATTGTTTTTAACATTTTCTCATTTTTAATTAAATCTCATACTATTTTAGTTTAAAAATTTACAGGTTGACTACAGCAAACTCATGTCCGGCCAAAGTCATATTGAAGTGGTAAAACATTTTCTTGAAGATGGAAGAAGGCTAGCTCTATAGAATCAATCTTAATAAAGCTTTGGATGAATATAGAAATTCCATGGTGCCTGTAAGGAAAGGAAACAAATTTTTTCTCCAGAACAGACTCACATAATACTATTCCTTATTTATGATAACTACTTCATTTATTGAGATCCATTATTTGCATCATTAATAATAGGTATGTATTTATTAAAATAAAAACCATTTGCTATTTTCTCGTATAATCAGAAATGTAATTAACCTTCTTTATCAGGACCTGTGTTTTTAATATTTTTATACAACTCAGGCGTATTATGGTTACTCTATGCTACCTGTACCGGTGCATGCTAAGTTCTCCCATATAACCCAGCTGGTCAATAAAGTAACCATTATTGCCCTAGGGAGATAAAGGGTACTTTATTGACCTGTGAGCGGTCAATAATATACCCTTTATCTCCCTAGGGAAATAATGGTTACTTTATTGACCAGCTGGGTTATATGGGAGAACTTAGCATGCACCGGCACAGGTAGCATAGAGTAACCATAATACGCCTTTTTTGTATAAAGCAAAGTATGGAACAAGGGAGGTAACCTCGTTTATGACCTCGCATAATATTGAAAAACTCGTCTTCGCACTCGCTTCGCTCGTGCTACGACTCATTTTTCAATATTGTGCTCGGTACATAATCTCGGACGTACCTCCCTTGTTGCATAATGTACTATTACAAATGTACGTTTTATAATTTTGCCGATCGAAATAAGTGTGCACACACAGTGCAAGATTTTCTGAGATTATAAGTCATTTTCAATGAACGCGTAAGTTTGAAAAGTCGTCATACTCACAAAAATGGGGGCATGAATATCCCATAAAATTTATTTGTTAGAATATTTATTTGACAGAATTTTATTAGATAGAATTTTCATATAGCTGATTTAAAAAATTTCGATATTAAATTGACTCAAATTCTTACATAGTAAAAATTTTACTTAACAGAATATAAGATTACTGAATTTTTATTTAACAGAATCTTCAATTGATTAAATTACCAATTAACGTTTTTTTATTTAAAAAAATGTAATCTAATTGAATTCTATAATTTAGAAAAAAAATTTAGGTAATTTAGCTGAATTTGAGTGATATATTCGAAATTTTAAATGCACAGTAAATCGTGAGGAGTTAAAATAACAACAGAATGGATTAAAATAATCTGCAACAGTAATAAAGTAAGCAAATAGAAAATAACCATGTAAGTAAACAAGTAAGAAAGCTAGTAAGTAAGCAAGTAAGTTAAAAGAAAATAACTTGCTTACTTCCTTACTGGCTTGCTTACTCTCTTATTTCCTTTTTGCTTCCTTGTTTACTTGCTTATTCCCTCTTGCTTACTTGCTTACTTTTTTACTGACATATTTTCTTCTTGCTTTTTACATATTTCCTTTTTGTTTCCTTGCTCACTTGCCTATTTCCTTTTTGCTTCCTTGATTACTTTGCTTATTTACTGATTCAGATCAGGATCTATTGTTCCTCGTAAAGCTAAAATCGGTGAATTTTGACAAATTGTTGACTTGGTTTTGATTTGAAGTAAAATTTCATTCATTGTCAAAAATAACGCCAAAAAGTATTATTTTAATTTTTTTGTTTGTTAATTTAATCTGCAACGCTTTTAGGAGTTGTACAACGGGTTTTGTTTTCTGGTCGAAAATACTATAAATCTTTTTTTCAAATTCTGTCATTATAAAAGTTTTAATACATTTACTAACATATCTTTTGACATTATTTATTCATTAAAATTCCAAACGGACTCAAAATTTTGCTTGTTTTTCAAAAACACTGTTTTTTGACCTTTCAGAAAAAGGTGGGGAGTTGTGCAACACATAAAAATTTGAAAAATTCCTCCATATTGGATTTATATTGGATAAAAACCTTAGAATACCCACCGATACTATAATCGAATTACCCAGGTAGAAATTTCAACTCTATAATGATCAGTCACTGGGAAGTTTTTCTTGATTCTGGCCAGTGATTGACCAGAAAATCTGGCAAGTGATTGATTAGAAATGTAACGCTCTGCTTTAGCAGTCACTGGTTAGATTTTCTGGCCAGTGCACAGTGGGGCCAAATCAGAAAAACCCGGACATTAGACAAAAAGTAAAGTAATCATCTTAAAAGTTGTTACTCGGGGGTTTTGAGGATCGCTAATTACGAATCTGGCATTGGTTTTTCAAAATTCAAAATGGCGGATCCAATATGGCGAATGATAATATTAAAAATTCATCGGATTCATTTGAAAACTGTTACTCGGGGGTTTTCGGGGTCGCTGATTACGAATCTGGTACTTGTTGGAGAGAGATAGCAATCTTTGGAGATAGAGAAATGAGAAACTAGTCAAAGAGGGGGACAGATGTTTGTACTCAGGTCTCTTAGTGCACACTATTATAAATACATGTACATTTGCAAGGGAAACCAAGAATTTCTATGCATAAGTGTATACTATAGCCACACTGAAAGAAATGCTTTGCAATTGTCAACAATAAAAGTTTGGTTAGGAAATTCTTACTAACTTGAAAATAAGGTTTTTCTATTTTATATAAACGCATCATAATAACAATAAACACAATTTCGAAAAACATAAGTACTAATATAGCTGACAAAGTTATTCAGAGGAAACATTAATTTTATCTATTTTAAGTTGAAAATATTATTAAGTGTATAAATTATAATTCTGTTTCAAAGATTTATGAATGACAGTATCAATCATATTTAAATGTAACTCTGATTTGTCTCTTCGTATTACTACAATTTTTATGTCAGTTTTGCCTATTCCGTTTTCTGACTGATTCAACCATACTGAGCGTCAGTATTAAGAACTCAGCTTTCGTGTGTGAAACAGGAGGTTAGGTGCGTTTGTTAAAAGCGTTGTGCGCAGACGTATTCGAAACAAACAAAGTAGAATGGCTAAAATGGTGATATCGTATACGGTATCTGAAAGAATTTTGGGGAGGCTGCAGGCTTTACATGGGTGCCGCTAGAGCTCGCTGCCTCAAGACTCGCAGTTTACCTAAAAAGGCGAAAATCTACTCCCGAAAGGTAAGCAGCAACTCCTCAGGGGCAGCTGCTCACCTTTCGGGAGTAGATTCTCTTTCTCGCCTTTTTGAGGTGAGCTGCTAGCCCTGTGACAGGACCTCTAATTTCAGACATGAAAAGCCAGCAGCCTCCCCAAAATTCTTTCAGTGTATCACAGTAACAAATCCAACAATACAGTATAAAAAAAAGATTTGAAATTTGAAAAGTCCATTTCAGGTGGCCTGTTGAGAAATTTTCACCCCATTGCTACTTTCAATACATTTTTCTAATTGCCTGAAACGTCTTTGGCAGTATGTAAACTGCCTAGGTACTTTGCTTATTACCTGTTTTTATACATTCAAATTTAGCCATTCTACTAACTGCCCGCGGTTTACAAACTGCCTAGGCAGTTTGCATACTACCGGATTATGCTATCTGCCTACGACATATATGAGGGATTTTACGTGAAATGTCCTAAGTTGAAATTTCAACTTCTTGAAAAAAATTGAAACTCGAGCCCGTGTAGAAATTGCCATATCTAGGCCAAATCGTGGCATGAAACACCCTTCCAGATCGGGCCCAAGTCTGGCCAGACTTGGGCCCGATCTGGGAAGGTGTTTCATGCCACGATATGGCCTACACAATGATAACAAGATCTGGCCCCTATTTGGGCCATGGTTAAATTTCTACACGGGAGGAATTTGTTGTTGTATCAAGTAGAAATGTGACCCAAAAAATATTTTTGATTTTTTCGAAAATTTGGAGGGGATAGAGGGGGGTCAATTTGACCAATTTTGACAACACCGGCTACTTTGTGAATTTTTTCTGAACATACTTGTAATGGGAAAATTTTTTTAGAGTATGTTTCTGAAAGGTTTTTTCGTCCTCTTTTCAGTGGTGTATTTTATTTTTTAATATTTAAAAAATTTACCCTAATTTTTGAAAATTAATATTTAATTTTCAATTTCCCAAAAATCGGTCCGTTTTTTTAAAAATAAATTATTGCAAACGAAAGCTGAGGTTTTTTCGTATCGGCATGTAAATTTTCAGAATGCCCTTTTTTGTTTTTAAGTTATTAAATTTCAAAGAATAAATTGCGGCGCGCTGCGTCGCGGTTGCACTGAGCCGCGAGGCAACCGGCGTGAGACGAGGCGCCCGGGACGCAAATTATTCTTTGAAATTTAATAACTCAAAAACAAAAAAAGAGCATCCTGAAAATTTACATGCCGATAGGAAAAAACCTCAGCTTTCGTTTGCAATAATTTATTTAAAAAAAAAACGGACCGATTTTTGGGAAATTGAAAATTAAATATTAATTATCAAAAATTAGGGTAAATTTTTAAAATATTAAAAAATAAAATTCACCATTGTAAAGAGGACGAAAAAACCTTTCAGAAACATATTCTAAAAAATTTTTCCCATTACAAGTATGTTCAGAAAAAATTCACAAAGTAGCCAATGTTGGAAAAATTGGTCAAATTGACCCCCCTCTACCCCCTCCAAATTTTCGAAAAAATCAAAAATATTTTTTGGGGCACATTTCTACTTGATAGAACAACAAATTCCCTAAGTTTCAATTTTTTTCAAGAAGTTGAAATTTTAACTTAGGACATTTCACGTAAAATGCCTCATATACGTCATGAAAAAAACTGGCCCAAACAGTGGATGACGTGTATACCCAGGTAGAAATTTGTCAATTATTATAATAATATTTAGTATTGTTGAATACTAATAATATTAGTATTTATTATTATATTATAATAATAATAAATACTGGAAGGAAACAGGTATACTTGTTTTCTTCCAGTAGCTCTAGAGTCGAGAGCGAGTTTTGCTTGTCAAGACAATCTGGCCAGTCCTGAATAAGTGACTGGCCAGTTTCACTGGATAAAAACAATTCATCTTTGTAAACAGTACTTTTGTCAAGTCACTGACCAGAAAATCTGATCATAATCATGATAAGAATTTCTTTCCAGACACTGGCCAGTCACAGATTTGAAGAATTATTTAAGATTCCTCCTAGAAAAAATGGTCCACCATTGATCAGAAAAACTTGCCGAATCCTACTAAAAGAATTATTCTAGATTTTTTCAAACCTCTAGCCAGAAAATCTTGACACTATCAAAAAAAGAAACTGC